CCTCCTGTGAGGAAGGCGGCGTCGGGGGTGGCCGGGAAGGCGAAATCGGCGGCGGGTCTTGCAGTGCGGGCCGGGGCGGCCGGGGCTCCTCGGTGAGGGGCGCGGCGTTGGGGCTACTCCGGCGAGGTGGGCGAGCCTCGGGGTGCCCTCCGGTGAGGAAGGCGGCGTCGGGGGTGGCCGGGGAGGCGAATCGGCGGCGGCGGAGCTCTGGGGACGCGCTGAAGACGAAGACGATCGATGAGGAGGAAGAGAGAAGGGAGGTGGCGGTATATAGGAGAGGGACCTTTAGTCCCGGCTCCATCCACCGTCCGGGACTAAAGCACCTTTAGTTCTGGCTCCTGCCACCAGCACAAATATTTTTCTTTGTGCCGCGTGAGACGAAATACGGCGAATTACATATTCAAAACAATATAATTTTGCATCAACCTCCACAAATATTTGTCTCCTAGGGCACAAGAGACCATTTGGCAAAGTTTGGCACCATTCCGGATCTTTTCGGGGGTGGACTCAGACTCAGTTCAACGTATAATTAATCGGTGAAGTCGTGTGGAAATTCAATTAAAGTGAAAAAATTACCAAACCAATTCAGAAAAATCTCGAACTTGGTGGTGGCTTCACACTGGGCATTTGAAACCCTGATAAAAATTATGAGATCAATCAGGCACTAGAAAGCACATGGACCAGAAAATTCAAAGTATAGTTAACAAAAGAATATAATCAATTAAAAGGTTTTTTTCTCTTATTAAATAAATGTTTGGGTGCTTTCTTGTCGAGAAAGTGACTTAGTTCAGATGACTAGCTAGTGCGCTGCGGTTTGGACCTTAGCTATGAGGTCGTGGGTTCAATGCCTGGCTGCCCCATTTTTTTGTCCAGCGCGACTATATTATTTTATCAAGAAAGATTTTATCCCGGTTATAGCCCAAAGCCGGGACTAAATCCTTTAGTCCCGGCTGGAGCCTCAAGCTGTTCTTCCAATCATGTGTTCCAAAGGAGCCCTTAATCTTGCAATTTCATGTGTTTTCTCAATTCATAGGATTCAAGATGTCTAAGGCATTCTATTCCTACATTTTTCCTATTCCTATGTTTCTAAGGGGGGGGGTGTTGTTTGTAACTAGGTTTGAGCCCTCTTTCTTTTACTATAAGTGCGTGTTTTCTTTTTTAAACGAAGAACCTCGACCCTTATATCTTGAGTGTAATACACATGTCCTCACATGCTCTGGATCTATGATTTCGTGTAGATTTTTCTAAGTGCGACAATGCACAAACTCAAGCTATGTTTAGACGCACCTAGTTAATAGTTAGCTGCTCCTCGGGTGGATGTAAACGGACCAAGCTAACTGTTAACTCACTAATACATAAACGATTTCTAAAAACGCCCCTTTTGAGAACCGACTCTAAAAATACTTTTGAGCCGATCTGCGCCACTAGAAATCGGTTTTTAGAGGAAGCTAAAATGTCCAACCACATGTAGAAATACTCCTGTTTTTAGAGGCTATTCAAAAGTTGAACCACCTCTAAAAATGAAATTGAGGCTATTTGTAGAGATGGCTCAAAATCCTACCCGTCTCTAAAATAGATTTCTTGAGACGGTTGGCAATTTGGTCTGCCTGTAAACAAGATGCAACACAGTAAAATCCATAACCTCTTCAAATCAAGTCGGATGAAGAAAAACATTATATCAAAGTTATAGTACTCGAAGAGATCAACAACTTTATAGTTGACCACTTTTCTATTTAAAATCATTTAGAGCCCAAAAAAATTTAATGAAAAAAATTCAAAGTTCATATTTTTCTATAATTTTTTAAATGGCCTCAGATGGAGAAACGACCTACACCAAAGTTGTAGTACTCCGAGAGATATAGAACTTTCTAGTTTAAACTTGTTTTATTTAAATTTGTTTAGGGTTTCAAATATGCATTGTAATATCCAGTAAAGTAATACAAAAGGACTATATCAATCACTTAGTCATAAGTGACTCTCAGTGGTAGGAAGCAATGTTGGTGGCTAGTGGTCTTTAGTTTAATCCCCTGTGACCGCACGTGCATGAAAATCACATGACTTGTGAAACGCAGCTCAGGACATTGGTTGATGTGCTTCTCTTGAAATTAATACTTTCTTTTTGGTATTTTTCCTCCTATTTGCAAATTCTATAAAACAGTTTTTAGAGACGGTTGAATACATGTCCCTAAAAATCATTGATTTCTAGACATATATCGAGGTGGGCCAAGCAGCTGCCTAGACAAACCCATTCTAACTGCCTCTAAAAAAAAGTTAATCTAGTAGTGACTGAGTCCCTAACTAATAACTATCTCACTAGCTATCTCAACTCAGCTAATAAATTGTAAAAAGACAATTTTGTCACCCTACCTACATGTATCGATGTACGCTACCAATAACAAATAGAAAATGAAGAGACTTACGGACAAAACCGCAAATGGATCCACCTTTTAGCTAGTGAATCCAAACAGTATCAAGGTAATAGGCAATGAACTAATAGTTAGCTAGCTAATATTATTTATGAACTGCTACCCAGTCTCAAAATAAATCATTTCACAAAATTACCATAAGTCAAACTATTTTAAGTTTGATCAACATTATAAAAAAGAGTAATAGCATTAGAGTTTACTTTGCTGTCGATGCAGGCAATAATAGATAGATTTCTGTATGTAGTTGGACCTAGGCTAAGGCTAATAAATAAATAATAAATGGATTCCTCCTCCTAAGCCCTGCTTTTTCTCTTTTTAGCTTTATCCTCTCTTTCATGTTGGTATCGATTTGATCGTGCCGGAATAAGAGCTAGGTAATGGATCTTCTCCAGATAGAAGTAAAGGTTACGCAGCATCTATGATACTAGATAATTATATATTTACGTTATAAAAATATAATTTATGATATATCTGATAATACCAATTTAGGTGTCATAAATATTGATATTTTTATAAATTTAGTTAAACTCAGAATTACTCCGGTGCATTTCCTCGTCTGATTTGAAATAAATATGCTTTTGTACCTTTTCTTCAAAATGCAAAGTGGACGTTCCGGCACGAATCTCTGCAATCACTTGTTTAGATTCTACGTATTGATCATTTTGCACTAAAATCAAGCTTTTTAACAGATTATTCGCACTATGTAGAATATCATGACTTGATCCTCATTGAATTGGAGTTTTTCATTCGAGGGGGGTCGTATAAGGTCGACAATACCCCCTATGAATACTCCACCAATATGAAAAGTTCTTAATGTTTGTTGAGTCCCAGGCTCCCCAATTAATTGACCTGAAATAAATATTGATATTTTTTTATAAATTTAGTTAAACTCAGAAATATTTTAAACCCAAGGAGACCCTTGTTATAGTGCGCGATGAAATATTCTAAATGGCTTCACCCAAGGCGACCCTTATTAGAGTGCTACACCGAATACACCCACGAGTCAGCGCCTCTAGGTCCAGGTCCATCGGAGCCGCAACATATAAAGGTCTTGGGCCTAACTCAACCCAAAAAACTAGCCTAATAGGTGAGGACTACCCACGTCTTATATATTGTGCTCCTCCACTATTAATTTTTAACGTGGGACTAAAGCTAACAATCTCCCCCGTCATACATTGGCCCTAACTCTTCACATCATATAACCCCCGTGAAATCTCCAGAAGACATTCTATAGGCCCCGAGTCCCAACGCTCTATGTCACAGACAACCCGTCTGACCTCCGAGATGTTAACGGGCTCCCCGTCACCATATGACCCTTGAGATTTTCTAGTTTTTTTCGACCATGGGCTTCGATATGCTCTCACTAGGATATGTGGAGGGTGGAGCCGAAAATAGTAGCTTCAGCCAGCTTCATCTCGCTTTGTTGGGCCATGTACGGGTTCTGTAAGAACATGTTTTAAGAACCTCTATACGGATCTCCAAACGGTTGCCAAAACGGCTTCAGCTTTACCGATTGAGCGATGGAGTTGTTTATGGAGCTGAAACAAAAAATAATGGCTTCACTCGTGAAGTGGAGTCGTACCAAATATAGCCTAGCTGTAAGTAACTAGGTAGAATCGACCTCGCTGTCACGCTTCCAAATAGACAACCGAATTCCATTTTTGTAATTGATCGACTGGCAAGTGACAATGCAGAAAGTAGGGACAGGTGAACGTGGATGTAAGTATCTCACTGCTCGATGCATAGCTGCGTCATGTTTACACCAGGCGAATGGCTTTGGACGCATTGCAAATTTCGGGACCAGCCGTGTGCTCACAGGTCTCTCTCGTGTGAGTTTCGCGTGAATTGTGCCCTGCACGATATTGCTACTGCACGATAAGAACTGCAACGAACGGCATGGTGTACTCCATGTTCCATGCTGAAAAAAATCGAAACAGAGAACAGTCAAGACCATGCTGGTCTCATTATCGATTCAGTAAATGAACACAGATGAGAAGTTAGTAACGGTGAACGGTCTAACGGAAGAAGCAGCAGGGCAGAATTCGAAACTCTCTTTTTTTTTTTTGGCATGATTTCACGGGGGTGGAATCGGTCCGATTCTCATAAATCTGAAGAAATTCCTTGGTCCAAACAGAACTGAACAGTTTGCGTGCATAGCCATGATACGGGCGGATGCATGGTTGAGGAAAGCTCCTAGCTGTGCTGTGCTTCTGCCCGACATTAATGGGAGTTAGATCATGGAAACATTTAAGAAAAAAATATCACAGGCGTACAACGCATGCCAAATTGACAGCTAGAAATATTTCCAAAATTTTGAGATTCCAGTTAGGGCCTCCAGGTGCTCATCAGCTCGTCGATCGCAGCTAGCAACAGCCAGCAAGATTCATCATCATGGCTTACGAAATCTCTCGCCCTCCATAAATCACCCAAATCACAGGAATGCGCTAGCATTAGCAATTCCTTCCCCCGATTCCCCGAAACACCAGGGTGACCATCGAAACGCGAGGAGCCATTCGAGGATAGGAGGAGGCAGCGGCAAGAAGGAACGCGAGGTCCAAGAAACTGCGGCTAGCGATGGCGGACGCGCCGTCTCCGTCGCCGACGGCGGCCGCCGATGCGGAGCCGGGGTCCACGTCGACGCCGCTGCTGCTGCGGCGGGGCTCGTACGCGCGGTCCATGTCGCACGCGCGCGACGAGCTCAGCAGCTTCCGCTCCGGCCTGCGGTGGATGTGCGTCGACCACTCGGACGCCGGCGCCAGCCCCGCGGTCTCCTGGCTCGTCTTCGCCGCGCTCGGCGTGGCCGTCCCTGCCGCCGCGCACGCGGCCACGCCGCGGCGCGCCTACGACACGCAGGTGCAGGTGTCGCTCACGCTCTCCGCCGCGCTCGCCTACGCCACCCTCTACTCCCTCGTTCGCCGCCGGGGCCTGCGCCGGCTGCTGTACCTCGACCGCCTCCGCCATGACTCGCAGGACGTCCGCGCCGGGTAGATCGTCCAGCTCGCCGGGTCCTTCCGCCTCCTCGCCTGCTTCGTGCTCCCCTGCTTCCTCGCCGACGCCGCGTACAAGGTCTTCTGGTACTGCGCAGCCCGCCCCTTCCCGCTCTGGTGGTCGGCCGCGGCGTGCGCGCTGGAGATGGCGTCGTGGATGTACCGCACCGCCATGTTCTTCATGGCCTGCGTGCTGTTCCGCACCATCTGCTACCTGCAGATCCTTCGCATGACGGGGTTCGCGCGGGACTTCGGCCAGTGCGCCGACGTCGCCGCCGTGCTGAGGCAGCACCGGCGCATACGCGTCCAGCTGCAGCGGATCAGCCACCGCTACCGAAGGTTCATACTGTACTCCCTCATCCTCGTCACCGCCAGCCAGTTCACCGCGCTTCTCGCCGCCACCAGACCCCACGCGCAAGTGAACTTCGCCACCGCCGGCGAGCTCGCGGTGAGTATATAGCATTGACGATGCGCCCCTGCATGCTCTGCTCAGATCGACGATCTTTCTTTATCCTCACATGCTCATCCATGCGCCTGCTGCTGTAGCTCTGCTCCGTGAGCCTCGTCACGGGCCTGCTCGTCTGCCTCCACAGCGCGGCCAAGATCACGCACAAGACGCAGGCGATCACCAGCGTCGCCGCGGCGTGGCACGCCGACGCCACCATCAACAGCCTGGACTGTGACCAGGAGAACCCCAGGACGCCCAGCAAGGCGTGCCTGCAGCAGCAGCACGCGCCCACGAGCCCCTTCCCGATGGCGGGCGCGTCGTCCGGCGAAGAGTCCGACGACGACGAGTGGCGAAGCGAGGACAGCGTGGACACCTCAAGGTTCACGTCTTTCCACGCCACTAACGTCTCCTTCCAGAAGAGGCAGGCGCTAGGTAAGCATGCGCGCGTGCACGTGCTCTGGCTGTGTGTGTTCAGTGTTGGTGACACGCTGTACTGTAGCTGGTCGTGGCGTTTTCGCAGTGACGTACTTGGAGAACAACCGGGCGGGGATCACGGTGTTCGGTTTCGTCGTCGACCGGACATGGCTGCACGCGCTGTTTATGATCGAGTTCTCGCTGGTGATGTGGCTGCTAGGGAAGACGATCGGCATATCTTGATTCTTGAGGAGATGTATTTACTTGTGATGATTGATACAATCAAGAATTTATCACTCTGCCCTTTACTGTAAAGTTCCAAGTAGATTATGTCATTCCGAATGTACAAAATTGAGCTCAGATAGTAGTGTTTTTGTTTGGTCCCCAAGAACATCGACTCGAGCAGTTACTTGCAAGCGTGACAAAACCTTGGTTTCTGACAATCTGCTTCGTGGTAGCAAACTAAGTAACAAAGAGCGCAGAGAACACAAACAGTTCAAAAACTAAGTAAAATGCCCACTGGGACAATTGGAAATATATATATAGTGACTGTTTAAAGATAACTGAGACTGATATTTACAGAGTGGTTTTGTTCTCTTCTCTAGCAAAATGACGTCGACTTGACCAGACTTCTTCCATAAACATAACCTATTCCTAATTTTACTTTATGGAAAAGGAGAATGCCAACCAGATGATCCATCACACACCCTGTGCTCCCTTCATCCTGAATATGCATAAGTATCAAAGAAAGGAACATGGTCCAACAAAACCAACAAAAAACTCAACCCATGTTTCACAGATCTGCAGAACAACAAACTAGAACAAATCCATATCATCAGCACCAGCTTCATAATAGTGTTACTGTTATCTGCCTCCTCAGTCCTCACATTAAGATAGTGCATAAAAAATAGAATTGCTCCAATTTCCCAACTGTCATGTCCTGATATTAACTGTTGCGTGGCTGACTCAAACATCTGTGGACAAAACCAACCCGCAGTGGCCTCCGAGGAGGCAGTCCCCCAACGTATGTGAGACTGCGACTTGGTCTTTCCCCATTTCTCCTATAAGCTCTGTCTCTGTGGACAGGATCACTATCATAAGAACCTTCGTCATCACTATCTGAGGATGTGGAGTCCAGTGGCGGAGCGTGACTCAACATCAAGAGGGGGCTAATTTAATTCAGTGCTAAACATTATCCCAATTTCTATGGTAAGCATCACGGCATGTGAATTTATGGAGCATAAATAGTGATTAAGAACTACTTCTAGCACCAGTATACGTAGGTCTCAGCCTAATATTGTAGGAGTAGCAACCATTATACATAGGTCTCAGCCTAGAACTGAATGCAAAAGCTAGCAAGTCATCATGACAAAATGGGCAGGTATTATGACACAGCCTAGTACTCTCCTACATCTCTGGCTCTTTGCTGCCACCATTTCCTAGTAACAGGCCTAGTACTCGCAGTATCGCCTGACATGCTGCTGCCTGTCCTTCGTAACTTTGTTGCAGGCAAGCAGGGGCCGGAGCCCAGTTTCGCATCCACTGAGCTCCGCCCCTGGTGGAGTCACTGAAATCATCTAGAGAGTTGTCATTGTAAGGATCGCTGATGTCGCTATCTGGATCAATGATGTAGTCCCCCATGATAACAGATCCTGGATTCAAAGCACTGACAATGCTGATTGCATCTTGCCTCTCCTTTTCATTTTCAAACTCCTCCCATTCAGCCAAGCGTGCAGGGTCAACTTCACGAGGCTTTGATGAACGATGCTTGGACTTCACATGTTTTTTGAGTCTCTTATACGTCCCGACAAATGAGCAACCCTCATGCATACAAGCTCTCCTTTTGCGGTTCAGAAATTGCCGCGCAGGTTTGACCACTGTCCACCCTTTAACTTCCCCACGGCAGATAGGGCACGCAAGCAGCATTGTCTTTGGCTTCTGGTTAGTTGGTTCCACTGCAGTTGAGACTTCGCATGCTGATTTCTCCCTCGAATAAGCATTTTTAAACAGCTCAAGACAATTGGAATGTTTATAATTGGTACCACACATGTATGGTCGACAACCCTTGTTATGATAAGAACAAAGGAGCAGGACAGCATCATGAGGACGTTCCAAGCATATTGAGCATGTGGCATTTTTCCAGTCCTTTTCCTCTGACATTGATCGTAATTCGTTTTTCCTGCCTGACCTTTTTGTTTTCTTGTAGTTCTTAGGTACAGCATGAGAAGCTGACCTAACATCATGAGCTTCCAGCTTACGCTTTCTTGGACTCCTTGCCATGTCTCCAGAACAGTGGGGAAAAAGACCTGGAAGAATAGTATAAGAATTATATTACATTCAGCTAAGATCTTAAGGACAGAAATCTCATTGCATTCTCACAAAACATGTAGGATTAATCCATACTTCTATGCAAATCACATCATAATACAAATGGAGCAATACTCTTTTGGATGTTCTATGATGTATCGTAGTCTTGTGGCTGTGTAACAAACATGAATCCAAACAAAATGGTTTTGCAAGCTTGCATGTTTGTATGTGACCAAAGTGAAGGCTCACGAATTATTTTGCAAAATTCTAGGTTTTGTTTCTCCGCCATTGATTAGCTTAAGGATACCTTTGAGGCTTTGAAAGTTGAAATCATGTGATGCCGAAGATGATTCGGATTGTTTACCCTAGGATATTCCAAGCATAAGTTAACATTTACATAGCATGACAAAGATCAAGTGAAAACTTCAAGTGGTTTAATTTTATCTGCCGTAAGTTCTCCAACTCCATTTACTGAGTATTGCCATATTCAAACTTGTAAAATACTAACAATTCATAATTTTGCACAGATGCCAGATAAGACTTTGTTTGCCATTGAGATGGCCTTTCAAAACTTCTTCCCTAAAATCTGCTGAAATTAAAGCAATTATTTAGATGCTTACCCGAAAATCTGCTGAAATTAGTGAATGCTCTTAGCATAGTACAGCAACTGCACAGGCCCTTAATAAGGACAGAAAGGAACCTGTGAAGTATTGGGGCTAAGCATCAGAATCCTAAATTTATATGAGCAGAAATTAAAAGCATGCATATCACAATAATTATGGGATAGCCGCAGTTTCAGTAAAAGCATCAAAAGCATAATACATTCAGTGGGCAAATACTAACAGACTGAATAGTTCAGTAAAGCAAACAATATCAGACAGCCAAGCATGCTATATATGATTCAGCAAAAGTCAGCAAGCGCAGCTCTGGCAACTAATAACATTTTAGCATACATAAAAACTGCACCAGACACTGAAAAATTCTCTGATTTCCAATTCGATATCACACAAAGTTAAAATATCTCACTTATAAATGCAACTCAGGATTGATTAACAAAATTCAACTCGTCAACTCTAAATATGTGAGGCATAACCGCATAAGGAGGTATTCTTTACAATGAGAACAACACTGAGGTCAATTTTGTGTGCATACATAAACACAAAAACCAACATGCAAGCAGCAAGCTAGTGGAAGTGTCACTTATGAGAATTTTGCTAGGCTCCTTGACATGTATGATTTTAGTCGCATCCAACAAGGTAGAATGTGAATCAAACAATGTCAGAAGTATTTTCTATGTAATTATATAGAGGAAGCTAAGAACACTAGCCAATGTAAATGTGAAGGACATGGCTTAGTCCAAATGCTGACATCACAAAATTTGGACTTCCGTTTAAGGGGAGTTTGCATCTAAATCTAATAGACCCCTACCAACCAAGCATTTTGCTAAGCTCTACATAATTCGGAGACAGCTATTTGTGTCTCTATAAGAAAATACAGAAAATTTGTGATGGACGTGTGACCATGGGGCATATCAGCATATATGCGGATAGTGTACACAATGATATGGTAACACAGCCACAGCAAGGCGACATTTCTTCCATCACATTTACATATACTGCAGTTTAAAAACAATACAGTAGCAAGCATCCAGCCGATCATGTATTTGGGTGCAGACTTTAGTCTTAACGCAAGGAATGGGGAGCACTGATTAGGTTAAACCCCAGGTTTGGAAGACCAACTGGACCAACACCTCAGGTCCAGTCGTATATATACCTCAACTGAGATCAAACTTTTTTGAAAACTTAACTGAGATCAAACTTGCTCCCCTAAATAAGGCACTAACTGAACCACATCAAAATGACCAACAAATAGATGGATTCAGGGGCGGATAAAGTATAGAACATGGGTGTACATGTCTACACCCGATTTTTTTTTTTTGCACAAAAGGAAAATCGATACTGGGTATAATGCATATGAATGTAATGTAATTGGGACAGAACCAGATACAGATTACTTATATTAGGGTTTGGGGTGCTCGGTTTTGTGCAGCGGGAAGGGAAGGGAAGGGAATGGCGTACCAGGTGCATACTCGTTGCCGGCGAAGGGCTCGGCGAAGAGGGCGGCACCGCTCGGCCTGCTGTCGCCGTCAGGAGAAAAGCCACGAGAGAGGGAGAGAGCAGAGAGGTATATTTATAGGTAACCAGCGGTGGCCGGTGGAGGCGAATGGGAGGAGATCTAGCCTATATAGGCCCATCAGAAAAGCAACGGGCCTATGGATGAAAACAGCCCATCTCGTGGGAAGGAATAAGCCCGCTCTCTTTTTCTCTTCTATTCTTGTTTTCTTTCTTTTTTACTTTTTTTAAGATAAAGAATAGTTTATATCCGGCTTCATCTACCGAGGTAGAATCAGACCCATTATTACAAAGTTCACAGCACAACACTTTCAAGGTTGAGAAGCTCACATCCAGACTTTGGGAAACAAAACACGAAGAGAAGTCTTGACTAAGAAAGACAAAAAAACCTAGTAGATAACCATCCACTGAAACTAAAGAAATGCAGGGCTGAAGTCTCCAAATATTGCCCAGCAAGGGTCAGCTGGTCCCGTAGATCATCACGCCGCTACACAGCCTGTTCGTTTGGTCTTATTTGGCTTATAAGCCATGACTTATCAGCCAACGAACAATATTTTTCTCTCACATTAAACTAGCCAACAGTACTTTTAGCCATGACTTATCAACTAAACAAGCTCAAACGAATAGGGCGACAGTCTTGCCCATTGCCGTAGCCAATGGGTTCCCCTGAAGAGTTCCTACAAAAAAGTTTTTGGTCTGCATTTGTCAAAAACCACTTCATTTCTTGTTAACCAAATTGTCCAACATAAAGTCGCTGCTGCCGTTAATAACAATGAGTTATAAATAACACCACCCATCTTAGAC